GGCCAGGGGAATCAGCAGGACAGGGGAGGAATTTTTTTGTTGTCAAGATCATTGCTCTACATTTGTTATCAGCTCATTGGTAGGAGGGATTGCTGCACGATATGATCTGAAATGTATAACAACTATGCATTATAAACATAGGTGCATGCCCTTTTCTCATGCTGGCTTTTTTGTTTGTCTGGATACATTATAGTTTTAGTAATATTTGTCTATTTAAAGGTTTATGTGACACCAAAACACTATGATTTATAATGCTCACATTTTACAGCTCCAGGTTGAGAATCTTAAACTCTGTTGTATTTCACTGGTACCTCATGACTGAAGCTCAATAACGCAGCCCCATGTGGAGTTGTTTTCAGTCTGAAAACCCACTTACACCCAATATTGACCAATACAAACTATTTTGTGCTTATCCTCATACACCATACACCGATCAGCCATAACATTATGACCACTGACTGGTGAAGTGAATAACACTGATAATCTGGTTATCATGGCACCTGTGTAAAAATGGGCACCGTGATGATTTAAGCGACTTTGACAAAAGCCAACCCAGCTGAGTCTGCCTGACTAATATTTGCTCTGCTGCCATTTCCATGTGGGCCCCTCAGACTGGTGTCCAGTTTTCATGTAGGCCCAATGTGAGTCTGTTTGGACTGGTGGAGATGTGGGGCAGGTTAGGAATTGGACCATTCTTGGTAAAAGAAAAATATTATTCTTACTGTCATTTACAGTAAACATGTCTTCTTGTAATAAACACATTTCAGAAAATCTTGGGATTTTGTGGAGAGGGAACTAGAGAGAAAATGCAATGAGCTGCTGATAATGTGTCAGAGTCTCAGTAAACTAAAAAAACAACAAAATCAAATCAAATTTTAACAGTTTTTTTAATATTTAAAATATCAATTTACTTCTTTTTTTAATGAAGCATAAAAAAATAATGAGCCATAATTTATTGCACTAATTGTAGTGCTGAGAAAACATTTCAGGCTTTCATTTCCCTCTAGCGCTCTAAAACACCATTTTATGACTGATCCCAGTCACACAGATACATGCTGACAGCACGGCACTGATATACTAAATATGTTTTCAAGCACACGTCTCAGTGTTTTTGTATTATACTTTTTATTTTTTTTCATATGAAACAAATCAATTCTTCCAGTGTCTTTGAAGTGTGAAATGTATTTTTATCATGAATTCTCACAGTACATTCATTTAATGTTGATCTGAAAGAAAACATCTTGAACTTGGCACTTAGAAAACAACCACAAAGAATTGTCACCTTTATTCATTTAGAACAAAATTTACAAAGCCATTCAAAACAGTCATTTTTTTAACACTTTTATGTTTTTTAAACTCAACTGTTGAGAATATTCAAAATACACTTTTTAATGTTGCCTCTCTCTCTCTCTCTCTCTCTCTCTCTCTCTCTTTGTACTTACAAATATGTACATTAAAGTCTCAGTGTCTTGTCATGTGTCGTCCCACTGACTCTTCATCACTGGTAATAAAAATCCTTTTTTAGTGTTTTATTTATATGTCTTCACACTGTTAGCACTCAGTTTAGCTCTCCGCTCTTCTGTTTGAGCTCGAGTGTCTGTGAATGTTCAGCGTGCTCAGATGGATGTCCCGTGGCTGGGTTCGCTGGCTTTTGGGATGGGTCCTCCTGGCACTGGTTGATAGGACATTGGCATGGGTGTCTTGACTGGGCTCTGCCGGAAGAGACCCCCATTGGGCGCCCTGTGTTTGCAGCGGATAGAGGGCATGGTGGCACTGCTGAGGGGCAGGGGCAAGGTCCTGCCAGTGGCCGTGCCCAGTGTCCTTCCTGCCCCATGACCCTCCTGGAGGAAGGTGGTCACAGAGAGCCGTGGCGGCCCCCGATGGGCTGGGTAGTCCCGAGCAGACAAGGCCTCCAGGGACTGGCTGGGCTGCATGCTGCCAATGTCCAGGGCAGAGATCTCGATAGACTGGCCTGGCAGCTGCTTGTGGGCCAAGTCGTCGTCCAGGAGGCTGTTCAAACGCTGGTGAACCTGTTCCAGGTTCACCTCTTTGTCCTGTAGATAGATGGAAAGAAGCCATAGAGAGTGTATGGAATAAAAGAAGCCAGGAGAAAGGATGGTGAATAGAGGTTTTAATGGAAGGGAGAGTATGAATATAATTAAGGATGACCGTGATAAAGAATGAAAGTGAAAATGAATGTGCAGTGAAGGGGGTGAAGAGGTTAAAAGAAAGAATGGGATGGAGATAGAGAGAGACAGGTTACAATGGTTGTTTCATCATCACCATCATGGCCAGTTTACATGCATTGCAGTCTACTATATTACTATTCAGTTAGAGCAAGTCTAATGGACAGCTATTAATGTTCACTTGAGAATACTGAAATAACGCACTGGCTTATTTCAGCTTTATTCAGGAGACCCAAATATATAAATGAATATGCTGGATTTTTTTTTTCAAGCAGCCAACATTAAGAGAGACATTACCTTAAAACACTAAATCTTAAATATGGGGTCATAAAAGGTAATGTCTCTACTTCTGAAATGAACTTAAACGAAGATGTCTCTTCATGCAGAAGTGTTTAAATTTTCTCCACAATTAGGTGACCACACATCTACAGTGGGTGACTCTTGCATGAAGAGCATCAGCTGTTAACAAGACAGGCTCCAATGGTCGCACAAATCTGATGAATCACACTTTGTGAGGCAATACAATTTGAATGAAGACAAAGTATTTAATGCTACTTAACTGAAGAATCTTTTAGAATATTCCTTTTTTTTCAATGAGATAACACAAATATGGGAGGAGGAGAGGGAGAAGCCAAATGAGAGCATTCGATTGTTTATCAGATCCATTTTGGCTGCACCCTGCCCTCCGTACAATAACAATATTTTCATCATCATGCACCCATGTAAGTCGAGCCACACTGAAGACACACGGAACAAAAAAGCCACATAACAGGAGAGACCATGGGGTGAGATGACAGATGAAACAACTACAGTATACCCCTGCCCGGCCCCATGCCCCGCCCCTTCGCCCTGACACAGCCAATGACCATCCAGTACAGTCAGGCCTCTCTCCTGACCTGTGTCAAGAGCCTCGGCCTCCTCCCAGTTTCTCTGTCTGTCTGTCCATATGTCCCGCCTCCCTTCTGGTGAAGCGCTTATGTCATTATATGTCAATGGACCAGAAACCCTTTCCAGACCGTAATCCTTAGTCACCTGCTGAAGATCATAGACAATGATACATAACCAAAACGGTCCCAGTTGTATCCGGACATTGACATATAATTGCAATTAGTTACTAGTTAGGTAATAAAAGGAATAATTCAACGCTTTGAGAAATACTCTTATTCGCTTTCTTGCTGAAAATTGGGTAAGAAAATCTGTACCACTCATGTCTGTGTGTTAAGTATAGAGCTGAGAGGCTGTTTCTCTAGAGAAAATGTTAGGCGACTGGCAACGGGAGTACTTCCTCGGGTGAATGGGCATAAAAACTCTGCTGGTTAAATCATCAGTGCAAAAGATGAACAACTGTGTTAGAAAATATCATGTTCTTTGTTACAAACCTGTATACATGAAAACATAAGGTGATACTGTACATTTATTGTTGCCCCTGTGAGGTTGCCAGGCAACTAGCGGAGACACTCCACAGAAGTATTTAAAACAAGGAGGGCTTGCTGTTCCACCCTGCTTATGCTAAGCTAAGCTAACCATCTTCTGGATGTGGCTTCTTATTTAACAGGGCAGTTGTGAGTGGTATCAATCTTCTATTCTAACTCCTCACAAGAAAGCAAATAAGGCTATTTCTCAAAAGTCGAACTATTCCTTTAAATGGTTACTGTTTTCAGGCTTGCAGTGGGTTTGGTTGTTGTTGCTGTTATAATGTCCACATACTGTATATTTGTGCTGTCATGCTGTCGGCGATGCTTAGAGCAATTTAAATAAATAATCCACCCAAATCTTTTGAATATGAAACACTCGCTCCCTGCAGGCTTGAAAGGTAATAGCTGTAAAACGTTTAAAGCAGCTGTTGTGGTCAGCTCAAATTCAAATTTATTTTGTTATTGTTTAATTGAAAGGTATTCAATTAAACAATGACATAAACTGAGAAAAACTGCACATCCTTTTATTCAAGCTTTGAAAATGTAGATTTTAAGAGACTGTAATTTCTGCTTAATTACTTATATTATTCTATTTTAGGTTTGCAACTGACATTTTGTTTTGATTATTCGATTATAAAATGTCAAAATCCTAGATAAAAATATCACAAGTTCAAATGTTGTTTTATCCAATAAAGAGTCCCAAATACAAAGTTATTCCATTTACAGAAAAGCAGCATTTGAAAGGCTGCTGTTTTTGCTTGATTAAACCGCTCTAACAGCTCCAAGATTATCAAAATTGTTGCCAAATAATTTTCTGTCAATTGCTTCTGCTCTTATCTCTTTTAAGCAATTATTATTATTTTCTTTTCATCAACTTACAATTGTCTTTCGGCATTGAGAATACAGACGGACAGCAGTAACCTTTCACAGTTTTGCTTCAAACCGACAGAGGGTGATTGTTTAACGCTCAAAAGATTTTGGGTGGAAAATTGCTTCAAGACATGGCTACAAACACGATAATAATGGCACACAACCATGAATATACTCAAACACATCTTATCTGCTTTAAATAATAAGAAAGTGATGTTTTTCTGTTGTGAATCTCACATGTTGTATGTGGTTATTATGAGAGCGGCTGCACACAAAGACTGAAATAGAAATAAACAGCAGTAAGTCAAACTCTCATGTGCACCAAAAACCGACATGAGGAGTTTGATTTACTGTGTGTTTTTTCAGGACAGGACTGGGTCTTTTAAATAGGTGTCCTCAGCCAGTGGTTTTTATTGGATTTGTTGGACTGTCAAGTAAAACAGGCAGGTCAAGGCTCGGATTCTTTGCTATCTGCTTTTGCTCACACTTTAGTTTAGGGATCCATGTCAAGCCTTATTTGTCTGGACGCCTCATGCAGAGGGGCTGCCCAGTCGACAGCAGCGAGATGAAGTCAGAGCTCTAAAGCATTAAGACTTGAATGGATTAGCTAAAGAGAGCTATTGTACAACTGAAGCACTCATTGTCTCAGAAGTACAATTTTTCAGTGTGTGGTTTTGAATTTGTAAGTAAACGTTAAATTTACTTTTATCCTTCCAGCTGCGGTTCTCTCACATGAACACCCGTGACTCTGATTCTTTGTTCAGGCCAAAATGTAGGCAATTCATAATTTTAACATGTTTTATGAGAGAGAAGCCTCAGAAGTCCCTAACAAAGCACCCCAACCTCTCTCCCAACATGAGAAGGAATGAGTAGATTGATCACATGATGTCTGAACTATCATCAGGGGCACACCTATTATAACTGGGTGTACTGCAGCTCTACTAAATCGGGGCTGGCATCAGCGCCTGCTGGATCCATAAAGTAGAGTGTGGCAGTGGCATCTCTGGGCAGGACCGGGGGGCCCGGGGGTCTGGGTCTCGACCGGGGCCTTGGTGGGGCAGGGGGACCCGTGGTGGCCACCATGGCCCGGTTCTGGGTTAGCAGGCTTGGGACTGGGCCCTGGCCCGACGAGTTGTCAGTGGTCACCTCTTTGGGCTGCTCTCTCCGGCAGTGGTTGCTGTTCCACCAGGTCTCCAGGGCAGCCACCAGGAGGGCCAGCAGCAGCCCAGCAGCCAGGATGCAGAAGACGCCGGCAAAGCTGTGGAGACGCAGCGCCCGTCCCTCTGGCTGGGCGTCTGCGTGGCTCTGCAGGTCACAGCGGCCTTTCTTTGGCCACCATTTCTGCTTCAGGATGTCCAGGTCACCTTTTTCCTGAAGTTCCAATATCCTGTGAAGGAGAAAGACAAAGTTTTTCACTCACAGAAGGTGCACATTTTCATGTAATAACACTACAAGACCAATCCTTCAATAGCATTGATTCAGACTGTGTTAAATGCTGGCTAATCAAATTACAACAACTGAGTAGAGAATGGAAAATTAAATAATTGTCATAGACAGAATAAGAAAATCAATATAATAGGGCTCTGAATTACTGTAATTACATGATGATACTGTGTAGTTCATGAAGTAAAACTAATAAACAAACAAAAAAACCGTTCGGTTAATGAACTGCATTAACATTGATTGCTCATTAAAGACCTGCAGTCAGTAAAATGCTATTAAAAGCTGCAGTTTGCACAGCAGCAGAGTGTAAGATATTGTTTGTATTGTTGAAACAATTTCTAAATGCTAACAAGAGCTAAAGGAACAGTTCTATATAAACAAGGCGAAGAAAAACAATCGCAGCTTCAAGATTAATTGGCTTCATATCAAATTGTCTGAGTGTGGAAACAAAGATGATCAAATACAACATTCAGCCCATTAGTTAGCGTACAGGGAGGAATGGATAGATGTTGTGGAGGAGAATGATGACGGCTGAGTACAAGCAGAGGCGAGACAGTGAATCTGTCCCATCGGAGAGGTTAGCTTTCTGCTCAGTCATTATTCAACCTCTTCAATGGTGACTGGCTCGTATGTGTTTGTGCACAAGCCTGCACACCGTGTACACACAGCTGCCAAAGCCTTTGACATTTATACACTCATGAAACATCAATCCCAGATGCCTTTTAAATATTCACCATTTGTTCTGCAAATCATGTATTTAGATCTTTCACAGAGGCACCGTAGTTTACAAGGTGACCAATTTCATATGGCGTTCGGCGCTGACTTTGTATTTTACATGGAGAAGATAGTTTGCTGTCCTCATATGAAATTCACTCCTATCAATCTTGTAAATACTGCACTGAAAAATTTATATTTTTAGCATATTTTCTGTCTTGTGTCTGGGAGAAATAAAAGCAAAGGGCATTCTCTTCAAGAGAAACTGTGAAATATGTTCATGTTGAAACACTTTTAATTGTATCTAGACATCAGTCAACGTTAATACTGTAACTACGGTTTATTACAACCTGTTTTATTCCTGTCTTGTATTATTTCAATCTCCAGCCATCTGTTCTGACGGTTTAATAACGTTGCACTCACCAAAGTAATTGCTGAGATGTGGAAACCTTCCTAAAAAAAAGGTCCAGTGAGGCAAAAATAATACGAGCATTCAAACAATCATACACATCATGAACTAACCTTCGGGTTAGTCAAACTTTTTGAAGAGAAAAATGCAGGCGAAGGGTAAATTTATGACCCAAACATCCATCACAGTATAAAATATAGACCAATGTACGTACTTCTGAGAGAAGAGGTCTCTGTAAGGACTGCCGTGCTGCAGGGCCATGCCGTAGCCTCTGGTGCTCATGCTGTTTCCTGCTACAGTCAGTGTGCAGTCGTCATCTGTCAGAGCAGCGTACTCTACCACCGCCATGTCCCACAGAAAGGCATATGACTCTCGCTTTGTCTGGACACACACACACACACACACACACACACAGACACAAGACACAGACACACATAGGATAAATACATCAGTTATGTTTTTCAACTAAGGATGTCCCAATCAAGTTTTTTTTTAGCCCATGGTCATTTATTATCGAACATCTGCTGATACCAATCCGATCCGATACTGTATTTTTTTAGATAATACAGTGCTTAGTGAACACTTCAACTACATTAAAGTTATTAAAATCTATCCAAAGTATATGCTTGACAATTAAATAGCTCTGCATTGCATTAAGAAACAAAATACCTGCATCGAAGCCATTCCTTAATATATATTTATATAGCCTACACAAAGTACAGAGTAACAAACCGTCTGTAATCTTTTTGGTCTTGTTGCTGTCTGAAAGGAGTTCCTCTCTCCAGTGTTTGGTGCTTTGGTGCAGCCTTTGCCTGAGTTACCTGAATGAACTGTCTGTATTCTGCTGAGAGATTATTTCTGTCGTGTCTTCATCTTCATGCGTGGATTACATAAATCAATTACCCTTATTGGCTTTTTGTTCGGGGGACTTTTGTTGCTCTTGCAGCGGTGTGTTGTGGGCTCTCTCACACACACACACACACACACACACGGAGCTCAGAGTGGAAGAAAGATGGCGAGAAAGCTGATGATTGCTGCACCTTATATAAAAGCTTTGTGAGTAACCAACAGCTGTATGACAGCTGACGTAAAACCAAAGATCGGATCGGATCAATAAAGCTCTATATAGCAGATTCTGATCAGTTAAAGAAATGCCTTGATTGGTGCCAAAACCAATCGTTGAGATTGGATCGGGACATTCCAAATTTGAATTAACCGGATATTACAGAGTGCAAGACAGGAGGTGTACTCTGTGTTTACATCGATGATGCTTGGTGCTCTAACGCTGTCAACTTTTTATGTGAAGGTGAAACCATATAATCATCATTATCTTGTTGCTGCTGTTTACATTCCCACACATTCAAAAAATGCACTACCAAATTATTTCCTGGGGTATATGTATATAATTAATATGTATATATTATTTTGTTGTATTGATTTTATGTTAATCTAATGTAATTCCTTGTTCTGTTTTTTTCTATTATTAGATACAAGATTAGATAAGATGATCAATCGGATGACTGAGTTTTCTCTCAGATTTTATCAGCGGATAAACGACAATGACTTGTGGCTGCTAGCTAACTACCTTTTCACAGTGAAGCACTAACATCGGGTTATTGTGCTAAACTAGTTTGATTTTTACAAAAGAGATACTGTTGGAGAATTCTCAGTACCTAGAAAAATGTTACTGTAGAAAAAATGGTACCGTCAAGTTGTCAAAATTTTGGTATTGAATGGGTACCGAAGTATTGGTTCTTGTGACATCACTAGTATCAGCAAGTACCCAAACGTAAGTACTTGGATGTTGTCTGAGAAAAAGTGGTATCTGTGCATGCATATTATCAACATACCATTTCCGCATGAAGTTAGGGAAGAACTATAATAGTCTGTTTGAAATTTTTACTCCTTGAACAAGTGCCTGTGTTGGTGGAAGAGTAGTGCACAGGAAGACTTTTCAAAGGGAAAATGTAATGAGTAGATAAATATTTGCAGAGAAATTAGCATCAACATTTTTTCCCACTCATTAGAGCAAACTGAACAGCATTCACAGCATTAGCTCTCTTTGCAAAGATGATCAAATAGTTGAATTCCTGTTTTGTCTAGCTTTGCACTCCACTGGATGTGACACATTTTCAGAGACGCGATCATGTGCTGTAGCCTCAAGCGCACACTGTGGAGAATATGTAGAACAACCACAGCTGAAGATCTGTGTGAAATCCTTCTGGAGTTTGGTTTGTTTTTGGTTACACACTTTCGCTTTCCTCCCTGTGGTGTCTTTACATCCTATGTCTTCCAGACTAAGACTGTACTCTCAACAAATACAGCCTTTTCACCTCACATTTCCTAAGGACTGCACAGGGCTCTCAAGTTCACTAACCTTTAATAAATAAACATACACTGGAGATATGACATTGACATCAAAGTATATAACTTAAGTCTAGAATGAGGCAGTAGTTTGAGAAATAACTAAATAAAAAGGCTTCTTCTCATCAAATAAGTTTAGAGTTGTTTTAAAGAATTGTTGTTTTCCATTGATGTATGTTATCTGTATAATGCCAACTGGTCTGATACACTGAATGCAAGTAGCTGCACAAATAATAAAGCAGTTTAATGACAAAGTGCATATGTTAAACTCCACTGTAATTTGTCAAATTATAGATTATTTCTCCATGTGTTGTTTATAAGTGAGTGTTAGTGCTTGTTTATGTGTTAAATGAAAATAGAAAGAGGAGGGGATGCATAAAATATTAATTCAGTAGCACAGTTTCAGAGAATAATTAAAAAGCTCTTACAATTCACTAGATTAAAAAATATCACTTTACTTTCAGGCATCTATGAATCAGGCACTGTAATTACTTAACTAACTTACCTGGCTGTGTGACAGTAAAAAGGTACTGTTAATTATCATCAAGGTTGAGCTAATGTTTCTCAGTATTCTCTTTGAACTAAAGATTTAACTATATTATATGTTCATATAATTCATTTACGTGTGTCAAAGTTTGGTACAGTCGAACCCCAAGGAATTCTGAAATGGTTAACACCTCAGAAACAACTAATTTTATTAACCTGACTTTCATATTGTATGGTCCCTGTGTTTGCTGAATGTTGTTGTTTAAAGAATATAAAGTTTTGTTTGGTTTCCCCAGGAACAGCATTATGCATATAGGAGTCCAACAACAGGCAACATGAGTTAAAATGTTCTGACAACATTTTATTTATGAATTCCAAGATAAATACTCACCTTCTTGATTCCCTCTGATGGGCTGGAGACAGAGTTCTCAAAGCCGTTGTTCTTGTTGATGGTCTTCCAGAGTTCAGCGAATGTGTTGTCCTGCTCCAGAGGGTTGGTGCCTTTGGCCTGGAAATACTCGTACACGGCCGAGTCCCTCACTGTCCCATAAACCACGTCCACCTGCTTGGACAGGTCCTGGAACGACCTATAGTCAGGGTCACATTAGAGAGTTGGTTTTACTAGATTTGATAGAAGACTGTGATTGGAAAAACAGGAAGTAATAAAAAATTCAAACTGAAAATGATTTTCTTTGACATAGCCTTTACAGGAAAACATTTCAGTTGTCTCATGTAAAGAACTATAATAATATGGCTATTTTGGAAGAACATACATATAAAACTGATACATAATTAACCTTAACCCCCCCCCCCCCTTTTTTTTTTTTTTTTTGTAAATGTGAGCTATGGTCAGATATTTATAATCATTATTTATTTTTTTTAAAGATATATATATAATCTATTTAAACTTGAACAGCAGTTTTTCTTTTACTAATCTTTTATAAGACATCTAATCCAGCGCTTTAATTTTTGGTACTGGGGATTGCTTTTGTTTGTATTTGGATCACATCTCTATTTATTTTTCTACACATATGATGCAAAAAAATCACTGACTTAGGCAACACTTTTGTATACACAAACAAGGGACAAAACCAAGTTCTGCCTCTATGAATTACAGTTGTGTGCATTTCACAACAAATAGTATGAATATTCTGTTCATACTTAATTACTAACAGTGGAAAATGTGGATAAAACCATCAATTACAGTATATATAACTTGATATTGTAAAAGCAATACATAAAGTGGTCAATCTTCTGCAAAGTCAGCTGAATTTATACACCGATCAGCCATAAC